CCCGCCACCTTAGGTGTATGTGGCTGGCGCCTTAGCCACTTGAGCCACAGGCGCCGAGCCAATTTTTTCTATTTTTAGTAGAGATGGAGTCTTTCCCTTGCTCCTTCTGGTCTTGAACTCCTGAGCTCAAGTGATCCACCCACTTTGGCCTCTGAAAGTGCTAGGATTATGCCTGGAGGCCTCAAAAACAGCTCTTAAAGATTAACAACAGTGATGTGCAGGAGCAGGCAAGTCCGTTGTTTACCAGGTAGCCAGTAGTTAAACATAGCCTTCATTAAAGATTAAGTTACACAAACTCTGATGAAATATGTATTAAAACCAAAGGTACTAAATGCTGAAAACTCATCACTCCCTAATTATTTTCTATTTTACTGTTGCCTGTGCTCCTGAGACTATCCTCTATTGTATCTGTGTGGTGAAATACTACCTGATGGTGTGCCACTGATCATCTTTTCCCTTTCTGCATTGTCATCACATTGGTAACCTGAAATCGGCTATGCTCAGTTCTTTACACCACACAAATAGGCAAATTTTATAAATCAATCCTTTCTGACAGTCAGTTGTTACATATTTACCAGCCCACTAATGGCAAAGGAAGGTGCCACAACTTCTATTTAGCTCATGTGCAGCCCTAGAAAGATGTTAAGTTATTTAAAAAAAAAAATTACCTAAATATTTATTAAACAGCATCTTTTTTTTCCAGACAGAGTCTTACTTTGTCACCCTCGGTGGAGTGCCATGGTGTCACAGCAACCAAACTCTTGGGCTCAAGCAATTCTCTTGCCTCAGCCTCCCAAGCAGCTGGGACTACAGGCGCCGGCCCCAACACCCAGCTATTTTTAGAGGTGGGGGTCTTGCTCTTAAGAGCTCAGGCTGGTCTGGAACCTATGAGCTCAGGCAATCCACCTACCTCAGTCCCCCAGAGTGCTAGGATTTACAGAAATGAGCCACTGTACCTGGCCTTAAACAGCACCTTTTAAGGATCATTAGAAATAGCTTCTGTTGGGTGGTGCCTGTGGCTCAAAGGAGTAGGGTGCCGGCCCCATATACCGGAGGTGGTGGGTTCAAACCTAGCTCCCGTCAAAAAGAAAAAAAAAAAAAAAGAAATAGCTTCTGTTTTGAACATGCACATCTTTCTAAACAAGGAAGTATTTTTTCTAATAAATGGCAAAGTGAGTTTGAGAAATTTTGATTCCCACAATTAGTATTTTTGGGAAAAAGCTCATGATGAATTATTTTTTATTTTTTGTTCTTTGTCTTTTACATCAAATACTTTCTCTGTTAGAAGAGCTGGTACCCTAAGGCAACATGAACTAGTCTCGAAAACAAAGATTGACCAATTTGTTCCCACCCATCTCCAGGAAGTGATTAAGTGAGTCCAGAGCAATCTCATGGGAAACAAAGGCCAAATTCACTAACAAACAGTTTGGATGCCATCTGGGTCGTTTCAGACATACGGTGTATTTTACATAAGTTACTTAAAAGAATATCAAAATTGGATAGTGTAAAAAATGTTAAAGTGTGTGTATAAAGGGTACCACAAACATTAGTTTTGATTTTTTCTTTATATTTATTTTGGAGTGCCTGCAAATACTCTAAGTGGCCAAGCTGAACTGGAAAAAGATCTGTACATAGGATATGCTATTTTTAATCTTCTTTTTTAAGACAGTTGAAAAATAATCCCAGAATTCTATACAGTAGGTGACATGCGCTATATAAACAAAACTATAGTTACATACCACATAATGCATGTACAATTGTACGTATTTTTTTT